GGTATGGAATACCCCATTGGCCAGCTGGGCTGGCTGTCCTGATTATGTTCCCTCCCATCTTGTGTACCTAGCTCAGTCAGTAGGCATGGGAGCTGTCCTTGGACTAGGAGGGCACTTAGCAACATCAGAAAACATCAGTGTGTTATCAACATTCTCCTCATACTAAATCCAAAACACAGCACTAGGAAGAAATTTAACCCTATCCCAGCCAAAACCAGGACACTATTAAAGATATTATTTGAAAAAACACTGTGTGTTTTATGAGGGTTTTCTGTAAGCAATATAAGATTGAAATCCGTGTAAATGAAGGAAAGGTAGCAAAAAAAGCATTTGAATTTAAAAGATTTGCAAATATGGCTACTACACAAGTATGAAACCCTTTCAAAAATATGTCACTTAGGAGAATGTCATGAATTAGAAATGAGAAAACAAACCAGATAATTTGGTTGGTGCTGTAAGGAGATCTATTCCTGCAGCTACTCCAGATGAGAACCCTGTTACCGTCCGCAGGCCTTTTTGGCAGGGCACTGATTTCCTTCCTTATCTCTGTGTTCTGATGCTGAGAGCTGCAGAGCACCTTGAATGCCTTCTGAAGTCAACTAGAGATTGTGATAAGCATCATCTTGTAGATTTAGCCTGTTAAGACTTTCACAGACTTCCATGGGAGTGGCCATAAAATTAAACCCAGAAATTTTTGCATGACAAAACATTAAGGTGAAAATCTTATGTATGAACCACTTGATATTTATCTGAATTCAGGCTACCTTTTAGTATGTGCATGCTAATCTTTGCATTTAAGTGTAATAGAATTATAGTGCACATCTCAGCTACTTTATTTGATTTTTTCCCCCCTCTTTAGTCTGCAGCTTCCAATGGATCAGAGGGATCTGGACAATGTGGTGAACACAATAAGGAGAACCAGACTTTTGAAAATTATGTAGTAGACATGAAGACAAAGGTAAGATCCATTCTTTTGTGATGGAGAATGAGATCCTTATTTAGTCAAGTTTTGCTGGAAGTGAAATGTGTAGAATATATTGAGTTTGAGCTCCTGCAGTCATTTTTTTTGCTGCTTAATGCATGTACATAACCACATTTGAATGAGGCTTATGGCTGCAATTTACTGCTGTATGTTACTAGCCCTGTGCATTTTATGCGGTCCTAGGCAGGATTTATTTTTTATTTTTATGTAAAATTATTGTTATTATTGGTGATGGTTTTACAGGATTGCTGATCTCAAGACGTTTTCATTTCAGTGTATTTTTGAAGTCCAAGGTGTTGCACAGTTAGTAAATTTTATTCAAGGTGTTTTCACTGTCTCAGTGTGCGTTGTAATTTATTTTTGGTCTGGAGTCAGTGGGGAAGAATATGAATGTCAGCGACGTGATGATTTTTGTATGGGCATAAAACTATGCTGAATGATACACAAAGCAATATGACTTCATGACTGTGGTAAGGGGGTATGTTACACTTCTCTTTGTAACAGTCTTGCTGCTTGCAATGGTGAAGTTATAAGTGTTTCATTATAATATCTCCATTATTTTCATAGGTTCATAACTTGGCTAGAACAATTCTCTTGGGCTTAGATGTTATTATGTAGAGTTTCAGCCTTGAAGTCATTGTGTATTTTTTTTTCTTTTCTAAGTGAAAGAAAATTATTAAGTTTTCTTTTAAAGTTAGCAAGCTGGAAACATGATGAAAAGAAAACAGACATTAACTGAGTTGGCATGCTTATGTGATACCTTGTAGACTTCAGCAAAAGTTGTTTCTAACAGTGGAAACTTGCAGATTATTTCTCTTGTCTAAGGCTTTTCCATGGGCTTTGTTTCTAGCTCAATTTCTCTGTTCGTTAACTTTTCAAGATCTAAAGAACTAATAGTTTAGCATAACTTTCTGAGTTTCTTGTGTTGCTGTGTTCCCAGTTGATCAGAAATCTTCTGTACCGTATAGGACCATGGTATTTCTTGAGAGTTGAAATACAAAAACATGTACACTCATTGAAATTTGCCCCTATGTTTATAGAGGAAATTATTTCCCCAAAGCAAGGAGTTATCAAAAGCTTGATATATGCCCTAAATACATTGCGTCCGTGAGGATGTTGTAGAAATCATGGGATGTAGTGGATCTCAGCCCATTTTCGCATCATCTCCAGTATGAATGCCCAACTGAACAATGCACCATCTTCCCTACTTCGAGTCATGATACTGCGAACTCCTGGGCTTAGTGTTTCTCCATCAGCAATTCTACATACTCCATTTTCATGCTGTTTGTTGCTCTCCAGCACAAAGCGTACATGAGAGTAAACTCCAAAAATTGGTAATTCCATTGACAAGCTCTAAGACATTCAAAGCTGTGAGTGGTACTTTCTTCAGTTCCCAGTACCATGGGATAGCAGATAGCAGATGTTTTGTTTTCATTTCCTGGAACTTGTGGTTTAGTGTGTCAGTTCATTTGAAAGAGTCATTTTGTCTGATTTCTTTTTCAAGTGGCTGTGCTTGACTGTCAGTGGCATGCTGCTATGACAGTGACACATAGCTATTTAGGACTGGCTACATGTTTAAACATATGCACCAGAGCTTTTCAGTTGCTGATGATCAATTGGTTGTTAGATTTACTTCCCCAGGCAGAACGCTCAAGAATTAAAATGAACTCTTCATTCACCGTGGATCTCGAGAGCTGAGAGCCACTTCAGAACACACTGCCCTTGAGTACCGTTGTTTCTATTGCAGAGCATCCCAGCCCACATAAAGCCAGTGGAGCATTTGTAACTGTTTCATTCTGAATAAAGGATTTGTGGGAAGCAAGAGAAAACAATTATGGCTTTGTATGAGAAATAATAGATACATAAAACATTAGGCATAAGTTTTAAATTAATGAAGGTTGCAGAGCTTTCAAAAAGCTAGCTTACCCAAGGCCCTTCAGAGCCGTAGGATGGCTCAAGGAGCTTTCTCCATCCTCTGTTCCACACCCTGTGATTCTGAACGTGTGTTTCCTACAACCCTACAAGTCATGCTCTGTTCCCAGCTTGCCTCACCCTCTTCTCATAGGCCTGTAAGCTGGTGAGTTTGTGGGAATGAGCCTACTAGAGACGTTGCATGGTCTCCAAGCCTACTAGAGACATTGCATGGTCTCCATCTTTGGAGATTTTTAAGACCAGACTGGATAACAGCCTGAATAACCTGATCAGACCTCACTGCTGAGGTCTGAAGAACCTACTTTGAGCAGGAGGTTGGAATGAAGACCTCCTCAAGTCCTTTCCATTGTCACTTATCCTGTGATCCTTTGATTACATTGACTCCTAGAGAGGAAGGGAGGCAACCACCCTCCTGTCCCACTGAGCACCCTTGGAGGCAAATGACTTTACACACCACTAGGTGCAGCAGCCAAGGGCCAGGTATTACAATAAGGCCCTCAGCAAACAGGGCCTGCAAAGTGCATGTTGTCTATTAAAAAAACCAAAGTGCATGTTGTCTATTAAAAAAACCAAATATAGCTTTTTTCTTGCTGTTGAGTGCTGGGGCAGTGCTTGGCTAAAGTGGTGTAAGCTCCCACGTACTGAATAAAAGGATAGTAAGCTGGGCATGTCTTGGGGCAAGAAGGCAGGGGATCACCTCCACAGCTGTGAAGCAGAAAACAAACTTTTCTGTGGCTGTTGAGCCTGGGGCCACTATGGCCACTTGGGTGCAGAATCCTTGTGATGAAGGAGTGGAGCTGCCTGTCCAGCCTTCACTTCTCCCCGTGTCCATTCTACATCTACCTGCAGGGCTCAGAGCAGCGAGGTCTGTGCTACCCTATGGAACAGAAAATTGTCGTCGTCTTTTTTTTGAGAAAGCTACCAGCCAAAGAAATTGGTCAGGACTCCAGCACTGATTGTGCTAAATAGCAATGAAATTTGCCACACACGGGAGAAGGGAATGATTCTTGTTATAGCTTCTGCCTGAGACTCTCATGGGTCTGAGGCCAGTTGCAGAGCTGCTGCTGCTAGGGCTGCTGCAGTCGGGAGGGGCAGAATTGCTAATTTGTTGACCTTTAAATTAACATCAGCACTCATGGGCTTCTGGTTCAGTCTGGGAACTGCATTAAAATTCTTAACAACTAAGGTATACAGAACTTCACACCTTCTGAAATTTGTATTAACTTCTCTTCCTGGCTGAAGCGGGGTTTGTTCTGACATTTCATCTGTAATACAGCTTCTAACTACATATGCAGGAACTGCGAGATTAGTAGTTTTTCACTTTTTGTTTTTCGTAGCACAAAACACTCCTAATAAAGAGGCTGTTTCATGAGATTTTCCCTTCTAGCACATAATTACTCAGATAACTTGCATCCCGGTGTTAACCTACTAACTAACCAATTGTGATGCACAGCGACCTAGCTGGAACTGGGCTTAAGTGCTATAAATGAGCTCTGACCATAAAGACTTAAGTTCATGACTACATCAATTGCCCTCTTGGAGGAGACGTAATCAGGAAAGTATTTACTTGTAGCTTGCTTGGGTGCAAAAAAAAGAAGAAAGAGAATATAACCCCATGTGAAAGGCTGGCAATTTAGTACCATCAACAAGTACACAACTCCATAGTAGACAATTTAAGACACATTAGGAGTAAATAAATCTTTCTCCACAATTGTAAGAGGATGTGTGTGTTTGTGTGTTCTCTGTGTAGGTGCATACAGCTCTAAATAGTCACTGGCTAAATTTTGCAAGAGATGCTGACATTACTAATGCTGTGTTAGCAGTCTGGTAGATGTCTCCTTTCTTAGTGTCTACTCCAAAACTTGGAGACCTAGTGCTCTTCTTTTTCTTAATTTCTACTGTTTGAATTAGAGTTAATAATGAAGCCAACTTTGCTTTTTTTAAAGAATCAGTTTCTCTTTACAGTTTTTGCTCTATATTATTTGGGTTTCAAAAGAATTTAAGAAATGTTTAAAAAAGTGTGTCATGAGAGATTTAAAAAAACATAGAATCCTTCCTATTGGTTTTAGGTTTTACAGAAGCTTGCTTTTACAAATATTCAGTTCAGCTGGATGTTACAGGCTCTGGTTCTAAATATAACTGCCTAATTAAACCCTATGCTTTGGTTATCCAAGTGGAAGTACCTGTATACAGTGAAGATTTTAATGCCAGAAAGGAGCATTAAATTGTCCAGTCTAAACTACCGCATTGTACAGACCATCACATTTCACCCACTCACCTCATATTGTTTGTTTTTGTATGACTTAAAAAGAGACACCTTGGTAAAATCAGAGGAGAAGGAAGCAGTCACCTGGGTAAGCGGTTTTCACATGGTGGTGGTGGTCTTCAGAGCCACTGGTATCACAGTGGGAAATAGTTGTTATTCTTCCAGTATTAAGGCTTCCCGAGAGTCAGAGCTCATTGCAGATGATATTTTTGACCATCTAAATCAACTACGAGCAACTATAAACCATCTCTTTTCACCCCAGATGGCTGCTTCTCAATTTGTTTGTTTTTTGGGTCAAGTCTTTCTATAGTAGATTTCAATCATGTTAATATGTACAGATAACACAAAGGCTGGAAGAGCAGAGGAAAAAATAGAACTAAGCGGCAGTATGACCCGCAGAAATTAGAGCAGAAGGAGATGTTGCTAATGAAGGGTAAAGCAGTGCCAAGGATTTGAAAATCTTATGCTTGGGGAGAAAAAATGAATGGAAAAAGTATCTAGTTGGAGGAAGAAAATGGAGCAGCTCAGCCTCTTTTTTGGGTTTGGGACAGGTAGTTAATGAAAATGAGGAACTGTATACTTGGGAGAAACACTGGAGACCCATTGACAGTCATCTCTTCCCATCCCTGACTTTGTCATCGATAGATGTGTGTTGGAAGCTATGACCAGGAGCCCTGGCAAGGAAAATGAGCCCATGGAAGGATGGAGCTGGTGTCTGCGTCCCCAGAAGCATGGGCCTCTTCTGTCTGGGGTTACAGGAGATTCTGAGGGTAAAAAG